GATTGATCACCGAACATTCAGAGGTATTCAAAGGTTAAATGTATCGAACACGTGGCAAGAGTTATGTCACGAAAGGTATTGTCGAGTCAAGTGCATGTCTGACCGAAGGCGCCGGAGGAATAACTTTGAAGCGCCAACATGCGCGCAAACTTCCGTTATTTATAGTACAACCTGACCAACTATCTGTTCTTGGGTGCATTCACCGGGCAATCGAACCCAGTTTCTACGTTCAGAATAATGAATATCATCTCTGGTCGTTTGTGAGGTCTACATTATACTTGTTTCTATTGGCAGCTTTATTTTCCATGAATTTCAGTGGACAGTTGTTTCTGAATGAAATTTTAATTGCCATAAATATTCTAGGAATACTTGTTATTCAAAGAAATATTTTCGCAGATCATTCGTTTAATTAGTTGCAATTAAAATTTAATTTAACTAATTTTCTTTAAATTGAAATTATTAGAGATAGTTGATTCTCAAAAAGCTCTAAAAAATAAAATTTAATAGTTCATGTATTACATTGAAATATTTTAATGAATAAACTATCTTCTTTTTTGATACTGCTTACGCAAACATCTCATAACAGACGTCTGCTACGAGGATGAATCTAAGCAAAATTTTTAGCATACCACCGCACCGTCAGAAAGAAGCCAGATATATTTAGAAGATGCTTAGTCATTTAAATACCAAGCTTTGCCGGTTTTATTCACAAGCTTTGCAACAAAGTCGTATAAATTTTGCAGTACGTAAACTTTATAGATCGAATTGCTGACGGGTGAAGAGAAATAACAACGACGTGATGAGTCGGACTGTGAAATGTTTAATCCTCTGTACATTCGTGCAACTTTGAAGCAACGTACTAAATTTCTGTCATATGTATATTCACGATTTTGGATTTATGTGTATTGTAATTTCATGGTATGATTTGTTATGACATTGAAGTAACATGTTACTTGGCTGTAATAAATCCTTCTGTATCAATATTAACATTTCTATAATGTTAAGCTGTGTCAATTTTTAATATATAAAATTTTTTCACGAATTCATAGCTTTGACATTTAAATTTATTATAATATTAATATTTTTATAATGTCAAGCTATGTCATTTTTTAATATATAAAACTGTTGCCATGAATTCATAATTTTGTTATTTAAGAGTAATAATAACAGTGATGTATCAATTTATAATAAATTTTTTTATAAAAGATGAATTCATTTTATAATATTTTTCCTGTTACCAATATTTCTATAACGTCAATTTTGATCATTTTTTCCAGATACAGTAAATGTAGATTACGCGGTGTGAACAGGTAATGGTGCAGAAATTTTGTCGCTGATATGATGCATCACGTGGTGCATTAGGAGTGTCACATGAATTATTGCATCTCATTTGGTTGGCTTATCTTATGCGACCCCGTAAAGCAGAATAGATGCATTTTCGAGATTTCAATGTCGCACTTCGAATTCATTGGCTCGTATGAAAGACTGAACTTTTTGCTCGAAGAAAGCAGTGCTTTTGTTAATTACAGGTCAGCAGGCTTTCTATCCGCGTTTGCATTTAATATCGCGTGCAATGTTGAATGCAAGTTTGCTTTTTGCGATGAAGTAATCCATTTGAAATTAAAATCTGATTTACACCATTTAGGTGAATTTGTGCCTTTTGAAGTAATTCTAATTAAGTACAACTTTTATTTTTAAAAAGAAAGGTGAGAAGTTGAATGCAACGAGTTTCATTTTACTCTGCATTCATTTCACAAACCTCGATCTCTATTTATTATCTTAAAATTGGAAATATTATTATTAAAGATTTGGGGTAGATTTCCACGGTTCGCGTTTGATAAAAGATCTGCAAGATGCTTTGTGAATTATGAAATGAAGTTAAATATATTTTTCTTTGGAGTTTCTTTCCCGCATCTGCTCGACGATATATTTAAAGAAACAGTTTTTGAATTTTCCCGAGAACACGCATGACGACGCGAGTAAATATAAATCCACGTCTTAATAGCGTCCATGGATTTTTGGAAAATCGACCACTGCGAAATTCTTCTTAACCACCGATAATCTTAAATTAGAACTGACGTCATGTTCCCTATAACATTGCTGACGAATCTTGCACGACGAATCGATAACCGTTAGAAAAAGATCCTTTTAAGCGCACTTTAATTACATGCGGGAACATTTCACGAAAAGTTACGAAATTACAATGTTTCCGGCGTTAGTGCAATATTTCATTAAAACAAGTAATTATGCATGGAACTTAGCAACAATAAACCAGAATATATTACCTCGGTTAATGTGTGCCATGTGTATCGTGTAGCTAGTTAATTATTAAATAAAGAGTTAATTATATTGAAATAGTCATCTTCAATTCAACGATAATTAGAACACATCACTTAATCCAATATATACAGAATTAGCTTTGTAATTAAAGAAATAATTCTCATAAATTTCCTAAGATTGACGATTGAATTTATTACTCGTAAAAATCACAATTTCGTTTTCTGACATTAATTTAAACGATGTGGTTTTTAGAGACTTGAAACACGTAGTCATCTCGAAGACACTTGTCATTCCTGTCAGAAGCGACAGAAACGAATTGCACCGATCGATGATTCGTAAAAATGATAACAGATACCTGTCTTTGACAAGATATATCGGCTGCTCCACATACCCGGAAGTGATAAAACAACAGTATCGACGGAATGAACAAGTGACGTGATCATAACAGATTATCCGAGCAACGTCAAAAGGTAACTGGGGAGTGCTGGAACCTTCTATGACACTCAAACAGGATGTAACATTGAACTTAACTGGCTAATAACCTCCGGTCATATGCAATCTATTGACGAACTTTTGATGTTTCGTTATAAACCGCAATATAAAATGATTGAAAATTATAGATCGAATAATTTTCAATCATCTACTCAATCCTTTGAAAGCTACTCTGAGATCTATAGACTAATAATTCTACTTTTACTACTGCATGATCCAAAAAGGGGTTAAATTGAGGCTTTGCAATCAAACCGTTCAACGACCCTCTGGGTTGCCGAACAGAAGTAAAAATAACAGAAGGAACAAAGGGTGCCGGAAATGTATAAACCAATCACAGGGAGAACAATCCTTCGCGTGAAAATTAGATTTTATAATAGTTTGAATAATTTATCGATTCGAATCTATTGCTATTTTATAGTAATTTTAGTCAGCTTGGAATGAAATATTTGTTTCAGTTTCTTGGTATTATAATTACAAAGATTGCCTTTGGCGCTCTGATTGGATCACGTTTTATTACGAAATTGCATCGTTAGCCTCTTCTGCAAACGTACCGCGCAAATCACTTACGAAACCCCTGGTCATTTATCATACTTAGCGTACCCACACGCACGTCATTTTTTAATAACGAGAAAAATGCGACAAGTGTTTAACTAACGTTAACACGTGAATGAGACATATATAGTCCGAACACTGTGTACGCATGGAGATAAGATTGAAATTAAAATTGACGTTCACGAACAGTAGTTTCATTACCTTGGAATTAGAACCTGTTTAATTAGCAATAGAATTATTTCTGTATATATTTGATATATGAAAATCTTTTCTCTTGATTACTGGTTAGAAATTCTAATATCGTGCCCCTTGATTTTGCTCTTACAACGATCCGATTTAACGTCAATATTTGACAGAGAGAATTACATTTGTCCAATCGACGCTTAGGCCGGGTTTGCTAACGTTTATTATCCACCACGCTATTGTGTGTTAACGTACACGTGTTTCAGCCTCCTCCTAGTTTGCTCTCGCAATTAGCCCGCAAAATTTACTCGAGCCTGTGGCCAGATAGTGCAACAGTTCATTTAGACACGCAAAAGATACGCATACTTTAATATTAGAACAGTTAAATCCGTCAAAACGACGCAGGTATTACAGAAATTATTAAATTTCGCGAAGATAATTTATCATCCACCCCTTCGCTTATTTAATTTTTCGAAATAAACAAGAAAAATAAAATTTGTAAACTTCAAATGGGACACGGTTGTTTATTAAACTCGGCCGTGATTAATTTATAGAGTTTATGAAAAGCGTGTAACTTTAATCGCGGAAATTGTAAGTGAAACATTATCCACGTTTATTAAAGCAGTCCCTTAAACGTATAACTAAACGTATAACTAAACGTAAAACGCGTTCCATTAATCTTTTTCAGAGCGCGGAAAAGGCTGGTCAATTGGGGGAAAATGTTTGAAAAGCACGGCTCGTTTCTTAACGGGATTTCACGTATGAATTAAGTGTGTTTAATTAATTACGAAGCTTACAGACACGCTTTGCTAAGCGTGGCTCCTTTTTCATTCAACAAGTTTCTTCAGTTTTTTCATCGGATTTGTTAGCACCCCTTTACAATTTACGTTACATAAACGAATTTACATTTACTTTCACCTCTTTCATGGATTCGGTTCTTTGCAGACTTTTTGCAATTGTTTCTTTCCTCTTTTCAGAAAAGATTCGTTCAAAGTATAGTTACGCTTTGATCATGGAATCTTACTTGGTTTCATAAGATTTCTAAGGAATCTTGGAATTGAAATTCAGTATTTTGCAATCGATACCTTATGCGAGGTATCTAACGTATTTCCGTGGTATCATTAAAGTTGTTATTGAAAACACAATAATACTGCTACAATGTGATGAAGACTGCTTACATAATTTCTAATCATTTGCTGCACTCATTGACAACCGAAGAAATATTACTCTGAAATACCAATTAATGATACCATAAAGATGCTGAAGATATATTAACCAACACTTTTGAAATGATGTCAGTAATTGTCTAAAAAATCTAATCTTCTAATCTAATCCAAGTTTCCATCCTTCTTTTACAAATAATTATGATAATCATTATTCTTAGAATTTATTATTATAATCCACGTGGGTGGTTATTTTTCAAAAACCCTCAAATGCATCGGCGAGATAAATTTAATTGTCATTAATTTTCCCGCAAAGATATTCAAACTTACCTAGAGCGTAGATCGAGACCAGCAGCCATTGTATCGATCCCTTCATCGCGTCGATCGTTGAACACTGACAGAAACGAAACCGCTCAAGATCCAGATACGTTGAGAATAAAAATTTCGAACGCACGTTTACAGGTTCTGTTTTCGATTTGCGTCAAGCATACGCTCTCACCTATATTTAGGCAGCACTGCAATAATAGCAGCCGACCACGTTGAGGAAGGGAGCAACTGGAGAACGCGAAAACGCGACGTTCCGGTACCAAGGCTTAACTCACTGACAGCCTATCAATCAAATTCCTTTTCCTCTTCTGGTATTGAATTCCTTCTAATTCAGAAACTTTTGATATCCTTTACTCCAACCATCGTCATAATTATTTTATCAATTCTCACTTCTCTTTAATTAATTATCTTTCCAATAAATATTACCTTCTTCAATTATTATCGGTTCTAGAAATACTTTGAAAAATGTATTCTTTTGCGATGATCCGAAGGTATCCAAATGCTGGAAGATAATGTATTTATCAGTGGCCAACAAATTGTAAATTGCTGCTTGATCACTTGAAATTCAGTAACGTTGAATGAAAACAAAGCACAAGCACTCCACGTGGCGGTCGTCGTCTTATCCGCGCCAGGTGTTATTCCAGAATGACAGAAACAAAACGCGTGTCGCGCAGGGTATCAGGAGGCGACCTTGAGGAGGACGCGCCGGTACCGGAAGGGAAGACAACACCAGCGACGATCCGTTACCGCGAGGATGGCGTCAACGCGACGCACGGACGGACATATCTGTGGCACAGAGTTTGTCTGAAGCGCTGTTTGAACGACGATGAAACGAAAGGCAGGAGGGCGACTGGTTCACTCTTCAATTCTCTCCCTCTTTCTCTGTCGTCATCCGCCTCCACCTCGCGCTCTCTTCCTCCTCCACCGTCGACGATCTCGACGATCTCTTCCCCTTCTATGACACCGACGTTAAGTCTCCGCGTGTCGACGAAGATTCACGGTATTTTTGTACCTTCCTCGTCTTTGCCTCGCGGCACGGAAAAAGCGAGAGGGACTATCAACCCCCTACAAGGGTCGTAGAGATTCAGATTTATATACACTGTGGTGGTCTTCCGATGATTTCTGTATTTTCAGACTTGGTTTCAAAAGAGATCTAGTTTGTCTGAATCGACTTGGATGATTTGTTTTGGGTTAGAACCAGTTTTGGTATGAATTTGGTCACGTTTTTATTTATGGAAATTAATGAAGAATAAATTGAATTGTTTTTGACGATGGTCCATAAAAATGTTGATGTACCTTGATCTTTATTTGGATAGATCGTTTCCTGGAGCTATTATTTCGTTTAAGGCGATGCAAGCGTCGAGGCCAAACGCCGAATTCCGCATCGGTAAAACAGCCCATGTTTAATCGAAAATTAAGCTGAACAGAAACTGATTCAAGCGCCACCTCAGTTATTGCCAACTAACGGCATGCTATACTACGTCACCTTTCGCATACACCTAAATGACACGTGTATGCTACGATAGTTATATGTATAAGTACATAATTAAACAATACTGACCATGCATTCATTATCATTAATTTTCTTTCTATAAAATTGTATTTGTAATGTGGTACACTTCAGAATCTCAAAGGCATAATTCCTGAAAAAAATATAACACAGATTAAATTTAAAAAAAAGCATAAATTTCGCAGCCAATTCGCTCGTATTATTTGCTGCATAATTAATAAATGTACAATAGAAATAATGATACAGTTATTAATTAGTCATCAAATAATAACGATTGCCCAGGTCTCACCACGGGGAGGTTGCTGCGGGTGGAGACCCGCCCTACCTCGTCCCATCCACCCTCCATTTATGCAAATTTTTACTTTCATTCAATAACATCATCCTCTTGATGCACATTTGCAAAACGTTTCGACTGTTGTGCAAACGAACAACAAAAGGAGCATTAGTTTTATTCACTACCTATCTATCTACTTATCTATACATATATCTACGTATGTTTTTGTTTTTTATTCCTATTGCAACATTTTTTAATTTTGATTTTGATTACAGATCTGTAATTAATAAATATGCAATTGCATATTTGTCCTACATACTTATATTACTAAGAATATCTGCCTATTCCTATAATATAATATAAAAATTCACTTAAATCTAACGCTTCATATTTAAACACTGCAGTGTTTGACGATTATATCTTAATGACCATATACATAAATAAATACAATGAATTTGTTGATTTTGTTGTCCTCACCAGAAAACTTCGTGAAACAAACTGAAAAGGGTTAGACATCATTTTTAAAAATAATAAAATTCATATAGCCTTATTAATAACTTTACGACCTGCCTATATAAAAATTTGAATACCTATAATGAATTTGTTGATTTTGTTGTTGTTATCAGAATATTTCCTGAAATAAACTAAAAAGGATTAAACATAATTTAAGAAAATAATGAGGCTCATCTAGCCTTAATCATAAATTTTGCAACCTGCCTGAAACAAACAGAAAAGGATTAAATACAATTTTCGAAAATAGTACGGTTCAAATATTACCATTCATAAAAATAATTTTTCCTTTTCAATCATTTTCACCTTGTTTTACTTCAGTGGATACATTGAATTTCATTTATGGACGCTAGATTTTATATTACATTTCTTCCAGTCTATTATCCGATATTATTAATTCACACTTCCTATGAAGATATTTTTCTGTAACAGAAACTGATTAATTGAATCCAGATAAAGACAAAGAAAAATTAATAGCTGGAAAGAAGATAAATTAGTAACAATAAAATTTTATAAAAGTCAGAGTGGTTGTTAATAATTCAAAATCAATTTGATACGAAATATGAATTTGAAGCAAACTTCAGTACCAAAATAAAGAGAAAAAAATTCAGAAATATATATATTTTTGATTTAAGTGACTTGAGTTAAGAACATTAATTATTTCATTTTATTGTATTTAATATTCGTTCATTTCGCGACAAATAGCACACAATATTTTAATTGAAACAACTGCCTTTTACTACAATATATAGTACGTACAACCACGACTCTACTCGACTTTGTTGCATTATATTATTCAATACACCTTTCATTGCAAATTTATTGTAAATGGAAAAACTGAAAAAAAAAATCACGAGTGGACTTTGCTTTTCAGGAAAAGAATTTGAAAATTTATAAAAGTAATTTAATTAGCTTCTCCGTAAGCTTGAAACAAAACATCGCGATCAAAAATTAAAACTAAACAACTCGAACAACAATTATCCACTACTTTTGTTTAAATAAAGTAGAATTAAAATTTAATAAGCTATCTCGAATGAACAAATATTCCTTGAAATAATTTATCACCAATCATCACAAAATAAAATGAACTTTCATTTTAAATAAAACTTTGAATAAAGTTCTATTTAAAACTTTATCGTATTTAATAATATTCTGAAAACATTAAATTCATATATTATTTAACAGTATTTCCAACAACCGAACGCTCAACATTTTCAAAATTAAAAAAAGGGAAGAAAAAAGAATGGGGGCGGGGCAGTGGGAGGGAGCGTACAGGGGAACCTGAAAAGAAAAGTTTGACTGCCCATAAGAGCAATCCCTAAGCAAACCCTATAAAACAAACCGAAATCAGACGCAACACTAATTTTAAAATTGCAAACATTCTGAACTATGACAAAACATCGGCTGGCAACGAAGGGTCTCACGCCCCCTAGACTTACGCCAGACGCTACATACCACCCACCCCGCCTGGACGTCGTAACGCCAGGACAGAGTGCACCCCTTCGCTAAGAGCGCTACCCGCCCGTCCAACACGTTGCATCCAACGGTGTCAGATTGACGGACGCCCATAGTATAGACAAAAGGACTGCAGTTTACAATATGGAACATATGGATGTGCGCCATATTCTAAAGCTGCGCCTGCAAAGGCCTAGTAATGCATGGGTATATCTCCCAGAGATGGTGTTCACGGTCTTAGGCCGCGGAATCCTTGACTAGCAATGGATTCCCACCGAATGTGAGTCATAGTTACTTCCACTAATTTAATAAATGCAAAAAAGTAAAAAATTTAATAACAATCGCGAATTCATTCGCAACACTAATTTCATTAATTATATAATATGTACAAAAGCGTACGCGTGAAGGCTGCTCCATTATGCGCAACACTAAGCTGAAAAAAAGAAAAAAAGAAAAAACGCGAACTGTAACGCAACACTATTCAAATCTACCGAATTTTGTAAGACGCAACACTAATCTAAAAAAGGGGTACAGCCAATCCAAGGCTGTACCACGGCAGCTGGTCCATAGCTGCCCTATGGACCATGGCAACTCCACTGGATCGTTTTTGGGCATTTCTAATGCAAAACGCGAATATTCATTACCGCAACACTAATTGGCAGGGAACTCTATAAACTAATGCAAAGCAATCGCGTATTTATAAGTCGCAACACTGGGAAACAATCGCGCTAATGTCATTCGCAACGCTATCTTTAACAGACATGCAATTAAAATGCAGAAAAGGGGGATTCTCAAACCGTGAATTTTTTACTCGCAACACTAATTTCATTAATTATATAATATGTACAAAAGCGTACGCGTGAAGGCTGCTCCATTATGCGCAACACTAAGCTGAAAAAAAGAAAAAAAGAGAAAACGCGATCTGTAATAACGCAACACTACTCAAATCAACCGAATTTTGTAAGACGCAACACTAATCTAAAAAAGGGGTACAGCCAATCCAAGGCTGTATCACGGCAGCTGGTTCATAGCTGCCTTATGGACCATGGCAACTCCACTGGATCGTTTTTGGGCATTTCATCATATATCGCAACTCTAATGCAAAACGCGAATATTCATTACCGCAACACTAATTAGCAGGGAACTCTATAAACTAATGCAAAGCAATCGCGTATTTATAAGTCGCAACACTGGGAAACAATCGCGCTAATGTCATTCGCAACGCTATCTTTAAGAGACATGCAATTAAAATGCAAAAAGGGGGCATTCTCAAACCGTGAATTTTTTACTCGCAACACTAAAGCAATTAAAACATTAAAAATCAAAACTCTCAAAAATCTTAAAGCAATCAACATTGAAAAGTTAAATTCTATTTTAAAGCAATACAAGAAAGAAACGCGATAATCATGCATACGCAACACTAAATTGAACCGTGATCGATATTCATTCGGAACACTAAATTGAACCGTGGTCAGTATTCGCAACACTAAATTAAAAACGCGATTTGCCCAAAATCATGGGGGTCACGGGCCCCCTCTTCTCCTGCAATTACAAAACTACAACTACAGGCAAGCACAGTGACAAAGTAGTAACGATAATAATTTTCCATCATTTTTTGCAAAAGGATGCAAAATCATTAGTAGTTCCCCTCTTGAGAGACAGTTTGTCGGGGCGCTTCGGCATATAGCCTCTTCTTTCTTCGGGCGGTCCACCCACCTGAAACTTATATCTAAAGCTCGAGACTTGCAAATTCGCAAAACAAAAAAAAAAAACAATTAACAAAAAAGAAAAATCGCGAAACTCTAATTGACACGTGGACGAAAAAGGACTTTATACATATAAGTCGTTGTTCGTGCACACGTGCCGTGCTCGAGCAGAACTTGTGCGTTTCGTGCCATCGCGATCGCGTATGACGACTTATGAAGTCGCCAAAAATTTGAAAAATTGTACAGATAGAATCGAAGGCGAACGGCATACTCCGTTCGTATCGATGGTATCGTCAATTCTTCAAATATATTCCAGGTACAGGTTGGTCACGCGAAATCGCGCCTACCCGACCAAGAGACTGTGACAACCTGCCCCGGCCCTACCTACTTACAATCT